GGTAAGAGAAGCACGTGGTGGAGGTATAATGGGTTACTTTGGGGTTCAAAAAACTTTAGAAATGTTAAGGGAACATTTTTATTGGCCTAAAATATGAAGTGATGCAGAACGAAAATTGCATAACTTGTAAAATGGTTAAGTCTAAGGTTTTACCCCATGGTTTGTATACTCCTTTGCACTAGAGAATCTTGGGTGGATATATCAATAGATTTTGTATTGGGTTTACCTAGGACAAAAAAGGGATAGGATTCAATCTTTGTAATGGTTGATAGGTTTGGTAAAATGGCATAATTTATATCATGTCACAAAATCGATGATGCCACTAATATTGCTGGTGTGTACTGTCGTAGGTTGATGAGTGTAATTCACTCATTAAACTAAAGCTTCTAAATCACGTTTTTTGATGTGTTCTTAGGCATTTTTGAACGTTTTGATGTGTGTGTTCGTGTTGTTTTGCATTTTGGACAACTCTCGAGAAAATACCACTATTGGGAGCCTGTGATGAGCAAAAAAATGATGATCAATGAAATGGAGCATGAATAAGCAAGTATTGAATAAGATTGGAGTGGAAAATAGGCGTGGAAAACAAGGTGAAGAGAAGCAAAGCAGAGGCATTGGCGCTACGGCGCCGAAAAAGGGGCTCTATGGCACCCCCAAAGCGATGAATTCCAGCAGAACCACTGGTGCCATGGCGCCCAATGAAGACCAACATAAGCAGAAACTCTGGCGCCATGGCGCCAGTTACCATGATAATCGCGGCGCCATGGCGCCATGCTTGGGCGCCGTGGCGCCAAATCCCGAAACGTTAAAACCCGGATTTTTAATTATCTTTTCAGCCCAAAAATCATAACCTAACCTTTGAGGACTCTTAGAAAATATAAATACGAAGATGAAGAACAAGAGAAGGGGGTTAGACGACTGAAGAGGCAAGAAAAAGAGAAGCACCAATTGAGAGAAGATTGACCCGATTTTGGAGAAGAAGAAGGCAGAAAACTGAGAAATCAAGCAACAAGATTGAGAAAGAGAGCAGCAACTTGAGTTTTTTTTCTATCTTTCTGTTATACATGCACTCTAGTTTGTATTTTATTGCAATTTTATTCTCCATCATGAACTAAACTTTTAAATCTAGGGTTTGATATAACCTATTTGAGACATGATTTAATTTCCTTAGATTATTTCCATTTAATTTTCCAGAATTGATTTGTATTATTCTTGCTTAATGCTTTCAATTGCCTGATCACCAATTGAATGAATTGTTGCTCTAAATTTGATGCTCGAGAGAGGGAAATTTAGGCGTGATCTAAGAACAATACAACTTAGGTTTGTAGGTTTCGAGAGAAAGTGCAAATCTTTGAGGGTAAAACAAGAACCAAGTGCGTGATAATCTTTATATATTTAATTCGGAATAGAGCTATTGGGGTTTAAATAGAGAGATAAGTTCTATTTGACGCTCGAGAGGGGGAAATAGAATTAATTTATGATTCTTGCCTATGAATTCGAGAAATAGTTGATGGAAATATCTATAGGGATTGAGAATTATGTCGAGAATACGGTGAAATCACTCCCTAGATATTACGTAATTTTGATTTAATCTTTAGAAATTGCCTCATTTTTATTACATTATTTATTTCATTGACATTAGTTTAGTATTCAAACATCAATTTAACACCCGATTGTCTAGATAAAGTAAACGCGGACACAATTATAGTATTCAGTGGAAGTCGAATATCAATTCCTGTGGGTTCGACGCTTTTCAATTAATATACTACAAAACTTGACACCGTGCGCTTGCGGTATAAAATCACGTTACATAATTCATGTGGCATAAGCACTCCAAATTAAAATCTATACCCCTTAAAACAAATGTAGTAGTGGAAGTAAGTGTCGATCCCACGAAGAGTGATTAGTGTATTTCTATGTTAAATTAAATAAAAGGGGGTTTTGAATGTGTTGAAATCAATTCTGACTAAAAACAATGAAAATTAATAAATTGGATTAAAGCAACGAAAAAAACTAACCTTGGCCTGAGTCAATATCCACCTTCGAAATTTTACAACTGATCATAGATACAAGTATGAATTTATTCATATTTTGAATATTCACCGTTGGAAAAATAATTACCTTCAAATTAATTTTCTATTCCACCTTAAGTGTAATTAGTTAGGGCCTTCTAACTAATCCTAATTATCGAACAACCATAGACAAGTGCTAAGATTTAATTCAATAACAGCTTTACATATTAGAGAAATCGATGAACTAGATAACACAAGCCAAGTGTTTGCATTTAACTTATTCAAACATTCTTCCTAAGATTTAATAATTTCCAAACCAGCAAATTACTAATCCTAGTTGCTTCATAAGTTAAATCAATCAAACAATTACGGATTTGATGTTTAACTTAGCAGTAGATTGTAATTAATAACAAACTAGTGTGCATCCTAGCAATTAAACACAACAATCATTGAAAATAAGTGCAAAAGAATTTTCAATACCCAAAAACATGAATTAAACTAATAAAACAATTCGATCTCACAGTTGTATAGATTTCGGGGCTTCAATATCCTCGAACGAGTATGAGAAATTACTTGGACATCTTCAATTTTAGAGCACAAAAGAGAGAAAAGTGATTTGGGGGCATTCTTCCACGTTTTAGGGTGAATTAGGGTACTTATGTGGTGAAAAGATTCGTTTCCATACATGGTTGGACGGAAGAAGGAAATAAAAAATTGCACCTCGAATTCCTTCCATGCGACCGCATGGTATATTTCCATGCTACCGCATGGAACAATAAAAAAGGCTCCAGAAATTGCTAAACCAGTTCGTGCGACCGCATGGAAAACGAACCATGCGATTGCATGGTTATACGGTTTTCTCCGCCGGACAGCTTTCAGTATTTTAGTCATAACTTTTTCTCCCAATGTCCGATTAAGGTGATTCAAGTTGTGTTGAAAATAAAACTCAAAGATATACAAATTTTCTTCAGAAGTCATCTTCCAATTCGATCGTCTACCATGTCAAAAATGGGTCCCAATATGATGCTAAAAACCGGTGCATTACTTTTTCAATCGGAAATTGATGTGTGATTATACTTCGACTCTATTTCACCTCTTTGACTTCTTTCTTCATCCACTTGACATATAAAACTCTTGAATCTTCATTTCATTGTTCGTCTCCCTGTTCAACTTTTGGATATTTGCAATTCAGTCCTTGATCTTTTGATTTCTTTCACTTTGGTCCTTCTTCACTCCTTTACTCTAATTTATGTCATAATCATCCAATTGCGGCCTAAATCAAAATATAAGGGTACTCAGTATATTTAGGCATTAATTAATCACAAAAATGAATGTATTAATGGATGTAAAACATGACATTTTATATCTTATCAAATTCCCCCACACTTTGCTTTTGCTCGTCCTCGAGTAAAATTCAAATTCACTTTCACAAAAATGTTAAAGTTGCAATGCCATCAACATAGAACAATCAAACTCGTTAAAACACATAACACATCATGAAGAAATATTCTCACACAACTTATAACCAATTAGCAAGCATTCTCAAAAAATGATGGAGTAAACCAAACATGTAAACCCTTGTGGAATATTAGCACTCAACTCTCATGTGTTTAAGGGTAAGTGTTTCGTTCAAGTTCATTCCAATAGAGATGTTCTACCATATGCTTGCATATCTTCTCATTCTCCACCAATTAGATCACATGCATAACATAAATCATAAGGTCTTTTCCATGGGTTGTAATGTGGCTTAGGGTCCAGGTGGGAAGTATTTGGGTAAGTGACTCAAAAGCCATTGAAACTAGTGGAGTAAGAAAAATGAATTGCCTCAAGATCAAACATATATAAGACATGTAAGATTACCACTCCACTTAAATGTTTCTCTTCATTTAATTCACACAACCCAATCCCTTCTTGTAATACATTAGGAGAAATCCTGAACATAAAATAATTTTGTAACATTGAAAACTATTTCCTCCATCACTTCTTTCTTTTTCATCTCTTTCATCTTTTTTTTTTTCAATTTTTTTCTCTTTTTTTTCCAATAATTTTTTTTTCATCCTTTTTTCTCAAAGTATGACACTAATAATGGAACTTATGCATTGTAATTGAGAACATGTTCAATTCCACCAATCATAGTCCTACAGAAATTTTAGACATTTGGTTACTACCATCCTTAAAGAAAATAACTCAACCAATTAACTTTAAGTTAGAAAGATCATTTATTCAATCATGTTATGCACTCTTCAGAGATTTAATTGAATATTACAAATAGCAGACACAACCGAAAATCATTTAAAATCACAGCTTTTCTCTCAATTTTTTGAAATATTTTTTTCCTTTTCTTGTCAAAAGTAACAGAATCAAAAATTTAAAAATAACCTAACCTAAATTCTCTCCCTCACACTTAAAATTTATTCCCAATGTAAAGTGAAATGCAAACAAGAGAACAAATTTAACTTAAAATATGAATGCAAATACGAAAACGAAAATAAAATGTAAAGGAACGAACTCCCCTTGGGTTGCCTCCCAAGCAGCGCATTTGTTTATTGTCTTTGACTAGCCTTATTGCTTGCTTCCTCAACCAGCATCAATTGGGTTTCCAAGGCCCCAAGTCCTCACCTCCTCCATTTGGAAACCTGCATAGAGAGGCCTCTCGTTAGAATTTGGCAAAACAATATGTAAACTTTTACCTGACTTTGGTGACTTTGGAGAAGCATTCAATGATGCAATGGTTTCTTGCAAGGCAATATTCAGGGGTATCTTCTGATTCACCTCCTCAATATGCTTATCAATGACAACTTTTACTGCATTTTTTTTCATCAAGTTCTAAAACTTCCCATTCTAAATGATCAATCATTTTAATAGAATAAACAGGGTTAGTTTCATCAAGATGTTTCATGGCATCATAAATATTAAATTCGATGAGTTTATCATCAAATTCCATAGTAAGCATGCCACTATAAAAATCTATTTTAGCTTTGGATGTCTTTAAAATGGTCTTCCTAGAGAAATAAGGGTAGTTTGATCACTATATCCCATATCAAGCACATAAAAGTCAGGGGTAAGCACCAAATCATTAATTTTCACGAGAACATCCTCAACTACACCCTTAGAATAGGCATTAGATTTATCAACTAATTGAATTACCATGCCAGTTTCATTCAAAGATCCAAGTTTTAAAGAAGTGTATATAGAGTATAGCATGACATTAATAGAAGCTCCGGAGTCTAACATAGCATTTTCAAACCTAGTGTTACCTATCATACAAGGGATGGTAAACATGCTTGGATCTTTGCACTTTGTATGGAGTGTTTGTTGAATAATTGTAGAGACATTTTCACCTACGTTTATCTTTTCACACCTTTTAAGTTTCTGTTTTCTTTTAATGGTACACAATTCCTTCAAGAACTTAGCATAACGAGGTACTTGTTTAATAGCATCTAACAATGGAATGTTTACCTCACATTTATGAAAAGTTTCATAAAGTTCGTCATTTGGTTCATCTTTCCTAGATTCTGCTAAAGCCTGAGGGAAAGGGGGGTGCCGGTTTATACTCAAAAAGGGGTGGAAGCTTACGCTTAAGTGCACCATCGTCATTGGGAACAATCTTTTCTTTAGTGGCATCTTTCTTCTTTTCCTGCTCCAATGATGAAGGGGTTGCCCTTGGAATTTCAACATTCTTACCACTCCTCAACAATATTGCACTTACATTTTTCTTTGGATTGACCATTGTTTGAGAGGGTAATTTTCCTGAACCTTGTGCTTCTAGCCTGTTGATTGAGGTTACCATTTGACCCATCTGGTTTTCCAAACTTTTAATGCTTGCCCTTATCTCCTGTTGAAATTGTAAAGTGTTAGTGGCAAGAGACTTAACAATATCTTCTAAAGGCATACCTGAGTTAGAAGTTTGGTCCTGTTGTTGTTTAGGAGGATATGGTTGCCTGTATTGCTGGAAGTTTAGGCGATTTGGAGGCATTGGTTAATTCACTTGTTGACTCTCGTAGCTAAAGTTAGGATGATCCCTCCATCCTGGGTTGTAGGTATTCGAGTAAGGATCATAATTTCTTTGTGGTTGTCTAGGAAAGCCGCCTATTGCATTAACTTGTTCATTGGGGTCTTCTTAAAGAGTTAGGCACATGTCAGTTGGATGCCCCATCACCGAACAAATTCCGCACGCCTTCGTCGTTTGCATATTACCTGTAGCCATTTGATGAACAAAAGAAGTTAGACTCGCAAGTTGTTGTTCAAGAGATGAAACATTTACCTCATTGACATGTATAGAAGGGGTGTCGAGTCTAGTGCCAAATTGTTGAGAATTGGCCGCCATGTTTGCAATCAAGTTCCTCGCGCCCTCAAGAGTTTTATCCACGAAAGCTCCTCCACTTGCAGCGTCAATCATGCTCCTATCAGTGGGTAGAAGACCTTCATAGAAATACTGGATGAGAAGTTGTTCACTGATTTGATGATGGGGACAGCTTGCACATAGTCGCTTGAAACGCTTCCAGTATTCATGTAAGGATTCTCTGTTGTCTTGCATTACACCACAAATAGCCTTTCGGATCTTTGCTACCCTTGAAGCTGGGAAATATTTCTCCAAAAAAAACCTCTTCATTTTCTCCCATGTTGTGTCACTTCCAGATGGTAGATAGTAGAGTCAGTCCTTAGCTGAGTCCTTCAAGGAAAATGGAAAAGCTATCAATTTGATTTGCTCTTCAGTTACCCCTGTAGATTTCATACTTGTGCACACCACATGGAATTCCTTTAAATGCTTGTGAGGATCTTCACCTGCAAGATCATGAAAAGTAGGCAAAAGATGTATTAGTCCAGATTTTAATTCAAAAGAGGTGGCAGCATCTAATGTAGGAAAAGTTATGCAAAAGGGTTGTTGATGCAAATCTAGAGCCGCAAGCTCTTTCAAAGTTTAATTCTTAGCCATGTCAATCCTTAACCTGCGCAAAGTCCTTTCTATTTTCGGATCGTACTGCAAATCACCTTGGTTAGAGGATCTAGATACAGGCATACACAATTAAGGAAGCAAAATAAATAAAAATGTAAGCAAATTTTTTTTTTTTTGGTATTTTCAATTTTTTTTTGGAATTAAAATCTAATGAAACAAATAAAAAACACAAAAATAAACTAAATCACTCCCCAGCAACGATGCCAAAATTTGGTGCGTACTGTCATAGACACTCCAAATTAATACCTATACTCAAAACAAATGTAGTAGTGGAAGTAAGGGTCGATCCCACGAAAAGTAATTAGTGTATTTTCTATCCTAAATCAACTAAAAACAATGCAAATTAATAAATTGGATTAAAGCAATGAAAAAAACTAACCTTGGCTTGAGACAATATCCACCTTTGAAATTTTACAACTGATCATAGATGCATGTATGAATCAATTCATATTTTGAATATTCACCGTTGGAAAAATAATTACCATTCAAATTAATTTCCTATTCCTCCTTAAGTGTAATTAGTTAGGACAACAACCTTCTAACTAATCCTAATTATTAAACAACCATAGACAAGCGCTAAGATTTAATTCAATAACAGCTTTACGTATTAGAGAAATCAATGAACTAGATAACACAAGCCAAGTGTTTGCATTTAACCTATTCAAACATTCTTCCTAAGATTTAATAATTTCCAAACCAGCAAATTACTAATCCTAGTTGCTTCACAAGTTAAATCAATCAAACAATTACGGATTTGATGTTTAACTTAGCGGTAGATTGTAATGAATAACAAACTAGTATGCATCCTAGCAATTAAACACAACAATCATTGAAAATAAGCGCAAAAGATTGTTCAATACCCAAAAACATGAATTAAACTAATAAAACAATTCGATCTCATAGTTGTATAGATTTCGGGGCTTCAATATCCTCGACCAAGTATGAGAAATTAGCTAGACATCTTCAATTTTAGTGCACAAAAGAGAGAAACGTGATTTGGGAGTGTTCTTTCACGTTCTAGGGTGAATTAGGGTATTTAGGTGGTGAAAAGATTTGTTTCCATACCTGGTTGGACGGAAAAAGAAAATAAAAAATTGCGCCTCGAATTCCTTCCATGCGGCCGCATGGTATATTTCCATGCTACCACATGGAACAATAAAAAAGGCTCCAGAAATTGCTGAATCACTTCGTGCGACCGCATGGAAAACGAACCATGCGACCGCATGGTTATACGGCTTTCTCCGCCGGACAGCTTTCAGTATTTTAGTCATACCTTTCTCTCTCGATGTTCGATTGAGGTGATTCAAGTTACGTTGAAAAGATAACTCAAAGATATACAACTTTTCTTCAGAAGTCATCGTCCAATTCGATCGTCTACCATGTCAAAAATGGGTCCCAATATGATGCTAAAAACCGGTGCATTACTTTTTCGATCGGAAATTGATGTGTGATTATACTTCAACTATATTTCACCCCTTTGACTTCTTTCTTCATCCACTTGACCTCTAAAACTCTTGAATCTTCATTCCATCGTTCGTCTCCGGGTTCAACTTTTGGATATTTGCAATTCAGTCCTTGATCTTTTGATTTCTTTCACTTTGGTCCTTCTTCACTCCTTTCCTCTAATTTATGCCATAATCATCCAATTGCGACCTAAATCAAAATATAAGGGTACTCAGTACATTTAGGTGTTAATTAATCACAAAAATGAATGTATTAATGGATGTAAAACATGACATTTTATGTCTTATCAATTGCAGAATTGTTCTTTAGTGAAATAGTAAGTTTACATGGGGTCCCTAAAAGCATAGTGTCTAATCGTGTTGTTAAGTTTTTGAATCATTTTTGGCATGTTTTGTGGAATACGTTAGGTACTAAATTGTTATTCTATACAACTTTTCATCCACAAACCAATGCGCAGACTGAGGTAGTGAATAGGACCATAACTTAATTGCTTCGTATTGTGATTAATAAAAACTTGAAAAATTGGAAAGAGTGTCTGCCATTTATTGAATTTGCTTACAATAGAGTTGTGCATTCAACTACTTCATTTTGACCTTTTGAAATCGTTTATGGGGTTAATCCACTAACTCTTTTGGATTTGTTGCCTACGCTTGTAAATGAACAAGCACGAGAAGGTCAGGATGCAGATTGAAGAAAAAAGTAAGCTTATTGCATCAAGAGCAAACAAAGGGAGAAAGTGCATGACATTTGAGCCTGGTGATTGGGTCTGTGTACATTTTAGAAAGGAGCGTTTTCTAGAACAGGTAAAGTTTAAGTTGTAGCCACGAGGAGATGGTCCCCTCCAAGTGATCGAGAAAATCAACGATAATGCATACAAAGTGGATCTGCTAAGTGAGTATAATGTTTCAACTCCATTAAGCTTCTTGATATTTCCCTTTTCGATGCAGGTACAGGTTCAGGATGAATCCTTTTGAAGAGAAAGAGGATGATATGATCCAGGTGTACGACAAAATTTCGTATATTAAAATACATAAATCATTACAAATTGTATTTTAATAAATACAAGTGATGTTGACCTTCTTATAATTGCAAAAGTGCAAAAATCCTCTAATTAATGGTTTGAATATTTGAAGACGAGGGGCCACGTGGCTTGAATCCTGGTCTTCGAGAATTTGTTAAAAATTTGATTTGTCGAGACTTGAATTGTTCGGAACTTGAATCTTGAGGCTTGGACTTGAACTTGAATTTGATTTGTTTTGAAGAAGACTTTGATCTTCTTGGACTTAATATGAATCTATTTGATTTGAGAAAGATTTTGATCTTCTTGGGGTTTATCAAGTTTAGATTTGAGAGAATTTCTTCATTTCCTCCGGCTTTGGAATTCTTCAACACTTTGTGGTTGCCTTCTTTGCTTTCACTTCTTCTCTTCTTCCTCTTTTATGGACCATTGGTCCTATTTATGGGAGAAAATTCGTAATTTTGGTAATTGCTCAATTATATTTAATTAAAAGAGATAATTGAATAATTATGGTTTTATTTATTTATTTATTTATTTATTTTATTTGTGTGTTTACTTATTTAAAATTTGGTATGGAAGAGGGTTTTATGGACTTTAGTAGACTTTAATTTAATTGGGTTAATGATTTAAATCAACCCAATCTATTTTATTATTTTTTTTTTTATGTCTACAAATGTCTCCCTCAAGATTTATTTATTTGTTATGAAATAAATAAATTAATAAATCTTCACCTTCGATTTTATTTTTTGATTTGTTCGATTT